CTCAATGGTGCACCTCGGTCAAATAGTGCTCGAGTTGTGCACCTTAGCCAAACAGTGCCTCAATGGTGCACCTCGGTCAAATAGTGCCCGAGTTATGCAACTCGACCAAACAATGCCCGAGTTGTGCACGTCAGCCAAATAATGCTTCAATCGTGCACCTCGATCAAACAGTGCCTCAATGGTGCACCTTAGCCCAAAAGTGCTTTAATGGTGCACCTCAGTCAAACGGTGCCTAAGTTGTGCATCTCAGTCAAATAGTGCCTCAACGATACACCTCGGCCAAACAGTGCCTCATTGGTGCACATCGACCAAACAGTGCCTCGATGGTGCACCTCAGCCTAAAAGTGCCTCAATGATACACCTTGGTCAAATAGTGCCCGAGTTGTATACCTCATCCAAATAATGTCTCAATGGTGCACTTCGGCCAAACAATGTCTCAATGGTGCACCTTAGCCAAACAATGCCTCATTAGTATACCTTAGCCAAACAATACCCGAGTTATACACCTCGGCCAAACAGTGCCCTAGTTGTACACCTTGGCCAAATAGTGTCTTAATAGTGCATCTCGGCCAAACAGTGCCTCAATGGTGCACCTCGGGCCAAATAGTGCCTCAATGGTACACCTCGGCCAAATAGTGCATCATTGGTACACCTCGATCAAACAGTGCCCGAGTTTTGCACCTCGACCAAATAGTGCCTCATTGGTGCACCTTGGCTAAACAGTGCCTCATTGGTGCACCTCGGCCAAACAGTGCCTCATTGGTGCACCTCGGTCAAATAATGCTCGAGTCTTATCTCAGCCAATCCAACGCTCGAACCACGCTTCGCGACCAGTCTAAGGCCCTAGTCGCACCTCGATCAATTCAATGCCCGAGCCATGCCTCGCGGCTAGTCTAATACCCGAGCCATGCCTCGCGGCCAGTCTAATGCCCCAATCGCATCTCGGCCAGTCCAACGCCCGAGCCACGCCTCGCGACCAGTCTCATGCTCGAGTCTTATCTCGGTCAATTTAACGCCTGAGCCATGCCTTGCGGCTAGTCTAATGCCTGAGTCACATCTCGGCCAGTCCAATGCCCGAGCCATGCCTCGCAGCCAATCTAATGCCCGAGTCGCATCTCAGCTAATCCAATGCTAGAGCCATGCCTCACAGCCAATCTAATGCCGAGTCACATCTCGGCTAATCCAATGCCAGAGCCACTCTTCACGATAAGTCTAATGCCTAAGTCGCATCTCGGCCAAATCTAACGACCAAGCCACGCTTTGCTGCTCGTCAAATGCCCGAGCCATGCCTCGTGGCCAGTCAAATGCCAGAGCTGCTAGTCAAAGCCAGCGCCCGAGTTACATCTCGGCAAGTCCAACGCCCGAGTAGTGTTGCTCGACCAGTCCATCTCCCGAATAGAAGTTTACGATCAACCGATGACTGAACCACCACTCCCAGCACGACAACCAACCCAGCCAACAAAAGGTACCAAGCCATTTCCCAAGCCCCCCACCCCCACGCGGAACCCAAGGCACACATCTTTGGAGGGAGAAAATGATATGGCATATTTTGGTATTGCCCACGTGTACCCAAGCAAGCAGACACGACAATGTAGACGTGGAACCTCAAGTATGATGTGGCTCGCAGCACACACGTGGCGGGCAGTCGCTTGTCGCCCCCTCTATACGAATGACATCATAACGGTACAGCCATCCCGGAAAGCTCAGGGCGGTGCCGCGTGGCGCTGATCCGTGTAGGTCGATCGGTGCTCGTACATAATCTTAAGTTGGTCGCCGCCCATGGAGCCAGCCATAATAAATTGACCTCGTACGACCAACTCATCCCTATAGGTATAAAAGCTAACCCTCGAGGGGGAGGCACTTCGAACACTGAACTCTCTCATTCTACCAAAAGCTAACTTAAGTTTCGAAGGGATCGAGTTGGAAAATCCTCCTCCCGACCTTGACCTGTGTGCAGGATCCTAATGATAGAGAAACAGGCCACTCGGTAAGAGAGAAGTGTTGGGAAATCTTGAGGGCGACATCACATGCGCAGCAAAAGAACAAGAAAACAAAATCCCCGATTCCCAAAGAGATGTTCGTCGTCGTGCGAAGATTGGTGCGCAAAATCCGCGAAACTTAAAACTGCGTATAAAGTAGATTGTGTTACCTAGGGAGATCGTATATCCCTATTTCCTTGCAAATCTTTAAGAGAGGGTGAAGGAGGTCTAGCCTATGAGGCTCTGAATCCCTCCTATTTATAGAGGTCCCCTGTCAAACCCTAATGGGTCCTCCCCTAGTGGGTATTGGATTTGCATCCAATAAGACAAGGGCTCCGTCGGATATCTCATATCAGAACCTCTACTCATCGTAGTACCTACCATGTGTGTGTGACCCTCTAGGCCCAATATCGAGCTGGCCGTGAGTCATACCTGTTAGAACTCCTTCTAACTCAGTGAATTATTATCTTTGTAATAATTCACTTGACTCATCGACTACGGACGTACTAGGCCACTATGCCGTAGTCCCCAGACGATACAGGGGAATCTAATCCATTGGACCTGTCTGTCCTCAGTTACTGTGTACCTATAGTCCCTCATCCATTTAATATCCCAGAGACCGTATATCGAGCATGGTGTTGTCAGACCCATACGGTTTCTTCTCGAGTCTCGCTCTAATCGGATTCTCCCGGAAAACTCTTTCTCTCTCAACCCGAATGACCCTGGCCAGGAATTTGTATGAGCAAGAACATATGGGATATTCCTCTCATGACGCCGAGAGTGGATGATCCTCTATCGACACTCAATAGCCCTCGTAAGGTCGACTACCACTCCTAATGACCAGCTGTACTAGATCTGGGACAACCAAACCTATAAGTCTAGTATCAAAGAGTGGAGCACTCATACAGGACATCCTTGGTGTCTCAAGTCTAAGGACTAGATACACCACTAGGACTACGGAATCGCTG